GGCATTAAATAGGTTACGCAGGCCACAGGCGTTGCCCGCATTTCTACTAAAATAATACAGAACACCATTGTGACAGACCTTTCAAACGACGAGAAAAAAAAATACTATAACTTGAGGCCACGCCGCTCGAAATAAGCACCCCCCAACAGACCATCTCTCAAATTCTACACTCCACTTATCAAAATCTAATAAATGTAACTGAAAAGGCTGTTACCATCATTTTGATTTTTACCTTCTATTTATTTAATTTAATTAATTAATTAATTAACTAACTTTTATTATTATTATCACCGTTATTACAAAAGGAAAAAGTTAAATAAAACAATTTTCATTCTTTCTCCGTATCTCGGTTTTCCTTGCCACTTTCAGCACATTAACTGTCCGTATGAAGCCTATAATAATAAAAATATATCCAAAAATATATTTCGATGATATATAAAATGGTATATTACACACGAAACACAATTCTCACGGATTTACACATTTAACACGAAAGTTTGACATTTACATTCATACCACCTTGATTCTAACTTCTAAAAACGTACTAAAAGTGATATTTTTAATGTGATGTTAAAGATGTTACTGTTATGCATGTATATATAAATGCTTAGGTGTTAGATATGTAAATACATAAGACTCGTGCGGTATGCCTGTAAATGGCCAACATAGAAATTAGCCAATTCTCTCACCGGCAAAACAAGCTCCAGAAACAGAACAAAATGAGACAAATGGCTCCAGCGCAGCTCAACCATGAATATGACTGCTGAACGCAGATGACTGGAAATAATTTAAAAAGCACTACATTGTAGTTTTTAATGCAGCACACAACATTTATATGCCGACTTAACAGACAGCTCCATGCGCATGCAACCCAAAATATATGCATATGGACCCTTCTGACGAGAAGAACAAACAGGACAAAACCCAAAACCCTGAGCACCCAAGACAAACAATGCTCCTTTACAAATAAAAGAATGACTAGCGCTGCAAAAATCACCCCAGCAAACCAGCAGTAGTAATCATCAACAAGCAAGCAATACTGACAGTGACCAATACAGCATATATCTCAACCTCTCAAATAAGCAGAAAGTGGAGGAAAACAATAAAAAATAATAATAATAACACGAGCAACTGAATTTAGCTGCTGAGATATTTGAGATTAGAAGAGATCAACCTTCCTTTTCTGCATGTCCTGCTTCCATTTTGGCTGCAGATAAAATGCATCTTTTGTCATTCCAAGAACAGTCTGGAATTCCACGTCAGACAAATAAGCCTGGACAGGGAGATCATGACAATCTCAATTAACTTTTGAGATTATAGGAAGCGCAAATTAGATAAAACGACAAAGGCACGCACCTCTCTCCTTTTGTAGTCGATACCAGTGACTGGGTTGCTGGATTTGGCTTTCAGACGTTCATAACTGAAGGTTTTTTCGCCATTTTTATCTTCTGCAAATGAGTCCTGGTTAACCTCTGCAACTGTGCCATTGCTTTCTGATTCAAATCCATCCACTTCATTTTCTACCTTCACTGCGGCAACTTCAACAGGATCCTCCGTCTCAGAAGTTGCTGTCTCTATCTTAAATGATTCTGTTGTTGAGAAAAAAGAACAAAAAATTCTGAACTTCTCGTCGAGACAATTAAATTTCCATCTATGCACACCTTAAAATCTTAGTTGCCAGAAGGGCTAGAATTTTGTTTTTAGAATGAAAATTGATTGTAATAAATATTTAAGGAACATAATAACCATAAGAGATGGGTAGCCAGTCACAAAGGATTGCCAATAAACGAAAAAAGAATATAACTAAAAAGCGAAAAAAGTTAAAATCGCCCCTCAACTATTTGATGGGGACCATTTTAATCCCAAGATTATACATGTGTTTAATTTAGTTTATTAAAACCTCAAATATGATTCAAAATGGTCTCTCCATTGAGTTATTTTGTATCAGATTTAAAAAGTCGACTGACAAAATTGGACATGCTGAAAAATCTGAAACGAAAACAACCCCTCATAAACTGTCTAAAATTTAAACAGTACTACATTGTATTTTTTAGTGCAGCACACATTATCTTGTCCAGTTCATTATGAAATCAGAAGAAGCTATCTAGAGAGGAATAGCAATGATATCAATGCATAAACAGCAAGTACGTCCTATTCTCCGATTAAGCGTAATGGTCTAAAATGCAGGTTTAAGTTAATAAAGCTACAGAGATGCATATGAAGGCATTAAACTGAAAATGTGTCAACTGACAAACAGATCTACAGTTTTACAAATCAAAGTTAGATGTTTCTATGTGGGCGAGGGTTGAGATTAGGTGCAACAAACAAAATACTCGATCAAGGAAATCAGAACCTAGTAAACTTCATGAAAACCTTACCAAATGCAGTTGAATCAGGGGAGGAGGTTCTGCTATGTCGATGCGTTGAACCTTCAGATTGTGCCTTCTTCTGTTCAGCTGTTAGAACAGATGACAAAGCAGCAACTGCAGCTGCTCTTTGTGAACCACCCTTACTGGAACGGATTGGTTTGGGACCGGTAGCTGCAGATTTGGAAGATGGATTAAAAGCAGAAGATAGTGCGGCTAAAGCTGATGCCCTCTGAGTGGGTCCACTTTGATTTGTACTGTTGGGCTTCTCGTTAGACTGCGGCAGCGAAAGAAGTTAAATAACACCCAACTAGTTGTCACATTTGGCTCAGACATAAGCTTAGCCAGACACACAAGAAAATGAAAAAGAATCTATAGCAGTTTTCCGTTCAGAATTTGATTACTAAAGCGATCGTCACAACAATAAAAGGGTTGTTATAAACATTGAGAAAATGTTTAAGATATAAAAAACCTACAATATGCAAATTTATGTGACGTCATGAAGAATTCCAACCCCCACCATGTACAAAGTTGTAGCATAGCAAGTTCAGTGGAGATCGATAGTGGAAGGGAAGATTAGAGACATCTGAGCATTAAATAGGATATTTTAGATTAAATATTTTTTAAATTGCATATAGGATGTAATCCTTAGGTTCAGGTGTCTATCCATAAAACTGGATAATTTTGTATAAACAAATTACTTAAAAAAGCAATCTAAAGCATATAAGTGCTATTAATTTTGTAATACGGTAAACAGATTCATGAAGTAACTTCATTGTAAACATACCACATAAGCTAAAAGATATGGATCCATCTTGAAATAAACAAATAGTATCATATAGCATGTCAACAAGAGTCCAAAATAGCTCACCAAGGAAAACTTATCGAAAACAATTTCTTGACACGAATTGCATAAAAGAAATATTCACTCCAATATGAGTCATTGTTCTATGAGGACATACGGAAACTAAAATCAAGCAGCTTACGTGTATGACTGCCTTAGCTAACTAGATAGATGCTCGATAGAATCCACCAACAACTTTGTCACTTATATTTAAAGTCTCTTTATAACACATCAAGATTAGAATGCGTATTATTTAGCAAGCACAACATGATTAAATGATTGAAAAAAATTGTAATATGTCACAAAATTTTAGCAATAAAGTTATTTGTAAAAGATAAACTTACCTCCAAAGCTTGAAAACCAGTTCCAAACAGCAAAGCAAGCTTCTTATCAAAAGAATTTCCATGAGCCTATTTCATATTAGAAAGTTATTAAAAATCAACTACAACAACATAGGTAGCGCATGGGAAAGTATAGACATAAAATAACACAACATCAACGTGAAAAGAAAATATTAAAAATGATTTTCTCATTGCAAAGCAAATCTAAGAAGTTATTAATCATTGGCAACCCCTTGGATACAAAGCATTTGAAAATTAGATTTTTTTTTTTTCTATAGTTTAGTAAATCTAATGTTGGCAAATTTCTGGGAATACAGAAGTTAATGGAACCAAAGTCCAGTTTATAGTTGCTTCACATATCATATTTAAGAAATATAAGCATCAAGCCTCTATGTAGCCATGCTATTAAATGGGCTGATTTAGAAGATGAGACCTTTTCTAACAAAAGAAGAACTTGAAATCTCCATCTCTATCAATTTTGAAGATATGGACGGAAAAAGCCCATAAAGTGCAAAAATAAAACTTACTACGAAAAGAAATATATTCAAATTGCTAATGAAGGCATGGAAAAATCATGAAGAATAAAGTAAAGTCTACCCTAGAAATTCTCAGCCCCGTTCTTGTAACCAACTTATCTAGCAATTTAATTCTCAAATGAAACGCTCGAGTACACTCAAATTTGGAAAGAAAGAAAATGTTGTGCTAGCCAGGATAGGACAAAAAAAATCAACTAATAACTTGCCAAAAAGAAAAACACAAGATTTTCTGTGAAAGAAATAAATTTGAGTTCAGGGTTTGCAGAACATACAACTGCCTTTGTGCTATCCCAGGAGAAATATGCAGTAAAGAAGCATGGCTCATTACCCTCAGTGACTTTGTAAAGGGGCACATCTGGAGATAGCCCATCTAAGCACACTGCAAGATCTATGTATTTCTGAAAACAACACCTATTAATTAAATATTATAAAAGAGTATCACTGCCATATAATTTTAAAAATGTGCAACTTAAGGTCAAGACCTGGCCTATGTCAAATGCTTTCTGTTTTTCCTTCGATTCAACAGAATAACCAATCCAAACAAAAACTTCGGCATAGGTGCAAAGTATCAGCATATCCTCCGTGAGCAGATCATCTTGCGAGAAGTTGAACACTTCAGTGACCTGCGAGGGGAGAAGCAAGGTGCACCTCAAGAACAAGACTAGAGTAGAGTGCACAAGCAGCCGATAAAATATAAGGAAAATAAGCCAACCTCTATTTTTCCTGGAAAGCCCTCACACCATAATCAAGCGAAGATGAAAACATTAGGTAAAAGAAGAATCACAGAAACCATTATGAATTTATCCAGACAGTAAGATTGAAAAAGCATTAACAAATATGGCCAAGGGATTAGCTTACCCTGCTTGAATGAAAAGGTATATAAATGAGGATCTCTAACAATATCTGGCACAGCTCTTTTGCTTGAGAAACTTTGTTTTCCTCCAAGAGCATACCAGAAAGCAGAGCTCTCTGTTCCTTCCTTAACATGTTTCAATGAAACCCCAGGCTGCATGAATAAGTAAATTAGAACATGTGATACATATAAGTTGTGGGCACATATTTAAAAAAAAAAATACTAGGCCAAGGGATTTGGAATATCTCTTTCAGAGGAATCAACAACAAATATTTAAATCATAGCAAGCCCTATGCATACTAGGGCTGACTAAAATAACCAAAACTCAGAAATCGTTCGACTTCTAGTGGAAAAAAATAAAATTGAACATAATCTAGTTCGGTTTCAAGCAACAATGGCTGGCATTAAATTCATATCAAGTTTTCTTGACGAAATTCAGTTTGAAGTAGCTGAAAATCAATATATTTATACTGAGTCTATATATAGTATAAATGAACCTTTGTTGGTTTATTAGTGAGTTTTATAATACCTCCAAGAGGGTATGGATTCAACCCCTCCTTTGAAAACCTATTTTCATTTTAATCTCAAGCCAATTCAGAATTGATTTTGAGCCAACAATATGAATAGCTCAAATGGTAGTAGTTTGACTTCAAGTAAATTTTGAGTCAGGCTAAACTCACTTGGACAAGACAATTAGCACTAGACAATTAGCAGTCAAAGCGCATCATCTCAAATACAAGAAGCTAACGAAAGTCCTTACACAACTTGGACTACCATTTCCATTGAAATGAATACTATACAGGGCAAAACCTACACTGGACATTTGTGCAGAACAAAAGGCAAGAGAATGATAACTGAGTTGTTGACTGGCTTATGAAGGGATAAATAATAAATAAAAAAGTGTCACCTTTTCCCACTGACATGCAATGTAATAATAATAATAATATCATTAATAAAAATAACTTAATTATAATAATAAAAAAAATTAACTGTTTTACGACACCTGCACAGCGTTCAGCAAGTGCAGGTGTCGTTCGAGCGAGGCCGCACCGATCATGGGAGCGTTAAGACGAGAATTTTTCCTCGTCTCCTTTCATTCGAACCCAGCGAGAGACGGGGAAAGTGAGAGAGCGGGACAGTGAGGTAGAGGAAAAAGAAGAAAAGGACGCAGTTGAAGCAGCAGCAGCAACAGTAAAGGGAGAAGAAAAAGGACGAGACGAGCGGCTCGCCTGCTGTGATCATTTCCTTCCATTTTTTGCAAGGGAAGATAACTTGAGCCGGCCTGCCGAGTGCTGCGAGCATGAAAAAAAAAGAGGAGGAAGATGATCGTTTGGCTACCTGGAGTGCTCGAGCGGCTCGCCCAAGCCTTTCCCTTGTGTCGTCAGCAATCCTTCATCCGTGAGAAGCCTTCCCCAAGCAAACCGAGGAAAAAGGGGAAGCATTCTTGCTCTAGTTGTCGTGCGGCTCGTAGAGGAAGAATGAGGCGAGATTATAACTGTCGTACAGCCCGCAGAAGAGGAAGGAGGAGCCAGAGGGCTCGAGCGGCCTATAGAAGCTCGGCTATAGCCTATAGGCCGAGAGCCCAGAGAGGAAGGAAGGTCTCGCGGGAGCTTCGCGTGCGCGAGCAACTCTGCGAGCCAAGGAATGCTCGACCGAGCCTTATTGTTCGGTTCACAGGGAAGACAGAGGAATAAAAAGGTAAATGTTTAGTTAATTAGTGCTAATTTAATTTAAATAATTAATTGTAATTGATTAAGATTAAATGTCAGAAAGTTTACATTTCAAATAAATTAAAATCTGGTTTAAATTTGTTTGGGACAAGTTTGAAGAACGCAAGATTCAGAAGAAAATCCGAAAATCCGCAGACAGAAAATTCGGGTATAAAATTCACTTTCAAAATTTTATTATTTTTTATAATTAATTAATGTTAAAAAGAAAGGAGGAGCCCTATATATTTAAAACTTATTTATAATTAAGTTGCTATTAATGTTAGGTGCCCAAATGAAAATTTTAAAAGCTTTAACAAAAAAATTAAATTGGATATTCCTACATATATATATATATATAAGGTAAATAAAAAAATTACGAAATTAATAATAGAAAACTGACAAGCAATAGGAGAGAAGATTAGCATTGAATAAGAAGTTAATTATATTTAAATTGTTATTATAGATGCACATGAGGACTAGACTATCAAGGGGAAAGGGAAAGCAGACAAAACCGTTGAGTGGATAATATGTTTTTATTTTACAATAATTTTGTTTATTTATCTATGTTTTTTTTTAAATGTTAAACGTAAGTTTTCTTTTAAATGCTAAATACAAGATAAAAATGAATAAAATATGATATATATATATATATATATATGCATATGAAAGTCACACCTGGATAGTAGCAAAAAAAATGTATTGTACTCGTGCACGAAATGAAAATAAAAAAAATTGCCTACCTTTATGGTAGGTTAGAAGAGGTTAAACGTATAGTTGTATAAAATCTATGTTTAGACGGTGATTCATAATTATGAAAAACATAAGTTAAACAAATGAAAGGAAATAAAATTTATTTTATTTACTGCTCTCTTTTATTGCACAACTTCTACTGTTACGACACTTACAAAAATATTTTAAAAATGAAAATTATTATAACTTAGAAACATTTATCCACTGAGTAGTTTTAACTCAAATCATAGTTGCTAACATTTTTACAGAAAAATTAGTTGTAGATTAGATGAACCCCAAGAAGTATGTGTACAGACGCCGCCGAGGTGTGCAAGCTGATAGGTATTGCAGTTGTTTAGTTTCTGTTTAAATATAAATTTTTAGTTATAAATAGTCTATTGTAAATATAAATTTTTGAACTAGAATGACACTTTTGTGTATTAAATTTTTACTATTATGATAAAACGAAACTGTTACATAGGTTTCCTAAGTTCGACCGCCAGTTCCCACCTTGGTAATTCCAAGCACACCAAGCCAGGTCATGACATGCAAATCTTCAAATTAATTTCACGAGCCATTTTAGTTATTGAATCAGATCCCATTTTACTATAAGACATAATTTAGAATTTATACCTTTCCAATGAATTTATTGGCAACTTCACCTTACGAAATATATAGAAAGATGGTCAAATAAACTGGTTTAGAGGTTATTCTTTTAATTTTGCAGTTTTAAAACTCAGTGGAATAGGAATGGTACTCAAGGACTATTTGCCGAGAAGATGATGCAGAGCGAAAGGCATTTTGCAACCATATCAAAAGTAAAAGTATTTTGCAGTGTGTATTCCTCAAGTTTAAAAGTAGTTGTTATAATGGGACCAATAAATTTTTCTGGAAAATGATTAGAAGCCTAACTAATTTCTGGCCAGTTGTAATATTGATGCTTCACTGAGTGCTTCAGTTGGTACAGACCACCTCCTCAAGCCTTAGCAGAATTTTTCCCCTAAATATATTAAAATTTCTGAAAATATTCATCAGGGCAGCATGTTATTGCATTTATTTACAATTTTAACAAGACCAGGATTTGATTTTAGGAATGAGCAGAAAATTAAGTTCTAAATACTACTCAACTGAAAATCGGCGGCTTTATGTGAAAGTAAACATTAGTTAATGGAAAAAAGTTGGTTTGTTTCAACATAAGTTTTCATAAGCACATGCAATAACGTTCTGAACTCCGGTACCTTGAAGTATTAAGCTAATATTGCCTACAAAAAGGGTGTAAGGAGAATAATGGTGAGTTTGGGAGAGCTTATTCATTGTGGTGGCGTTCCATTGTTTGGATAATGCGTTTTAGCGGCGTATCCCTAAACGGCGTTCCCATTTTTGTATTAAACGCGGATCGCGGGTAGGACCCCGCAATCCGCGTTTAGTTCGAGCGAAAGACATATTTGGCCAGCTCGCCTGCTTCCTTCTCGTGCACGACTGAGATATATCGCTCGCCTGCCCTCTCCCGATCGAAGCTCGGCTCGCTTCTCCTCTCTACGAAGATCGCTCGACTCCTTCCTGCCACACCGAAGCCCCATTCGCCTGCTTCCTTCTCGCGCACGACCGAGACCTCGCTCAGACGCCTCCCTCTCCCAATCAAAGCTCGACTCGCCTCTCCTCTCTACAACAATCGCTTGACTCCTTCCTAACGCACCGAAGCCCCGCTCATCTCCTCTCCTCTCTGCGCCGAACAACGCTCGGCCTCGCCTCCCTTGCACGACTCGACAGAAACTCGCTTGTCTCGCCACCTTCCTCACGTCTCACCAGAGCAAAAGAAAATTAGATGTATGTCTTTCGCCACGATTCCTCACCGGTAAATGGGTATTTACATATAATTTTATTTCATGAAGGATGTCAGGGCAGAATGATCATTTATCCAGAATCAGTTGTTTTTGAAATACACAAACTAAACAGTCAGACAGCTTATCCTGATCAGCTACTTATCAGCAGCTTATCAGGATAAACAACTAATCTGAATAAGCTGGATAAGCTGCAACTGCCCCAAACAGACCCTAAGACTAAGGATATAAAGATTAATAACTTCTAATGATCTAAAGCATTTTGTTCTTTTCCTATCACTACATATTTCTCTTTTAAACCTCAATTATCTCCCTTACTAGAAATAAAAACTACCACCAGTCATTAGAGCGACTCAATCTCTTAAATTGATTTTTTTTTTTTTTATTGTCAACATGATTCCACATCTAAAAACATTTTGATTGCTGAAAAAAAAACTAACCTCACTTCCTATCAAGCGTAACAATAACAATAACAACAACAACAATAACCCTTAATCACACTAAGTGGGGTCGGCTACATGAGTACATTTTCTCCATTCTGTCCTATTAAGTGTCATGTTTTCATTTAATTCTAATAAATTAAGATAATTTGTTATACAATATGCCCAAGTCTTTTTAGGCCTACCTCTGTCTTTCTTAACATAAGTCGAATCTAAAACATCTACTCTCCTAACCTGATCATCAAATGATCAACGTTTAATTTGACCAAACGATCTAAGACGGCTCTCTTTAATCTTGTCTGCAACTAGAGCTACACCAACCCTTTCATAGATTGATTCGTTTCGCAATTTCTCTCTAAATTGTCAAGCCACTCATCTAAGCATTCTCATCTCAACAACACTTAACCTTGTTTTATGCTTCTTTTTTAAAGGCTAACATTCTGCGCCATAAAACATTGCGGATTTCACCATCATCTTATAAGATTTACCTGTAAGTCTAAGCAGTAGTTTATATCACAGAATAGGCCCGATGCATTCCTCTACTTCAATCCTTCAATATTCCTCTACTTCAATCAACCAACTTGAATTCTACTAATAACAACCCCATCTATATCACCATCACATTGAACAATAGACCGACGACATCTAAGAGATCTAAAGCGTTCACAACAAGCGTTCACAACTTTTAATGATTTGATCACCCGTAGTTATAACTTTGTCACTAGAGCTACTACTACTAAAATTACATTCCATGTATTCAGTTTTAGGTCTACTCAAATGATGACCATTAGACTCTAATGCAAACCTCCATAATTCAAGTTTTTTTCCTGAAAACTTTCTCTAGTCTTATCGACAAGAAGGAAATAATCAACAAAGAGCATACACCAATATACATCCTCCCGTAAATGTCCAACTAGAACATCCATAACTAAAGCAAGAAGATATGGGCTTAAAGTCGATCCCCGATGTAATCTAACTGAAATAGGAAAATACTTGGTCAATCTTCCTTCAGTTCGAACACCAATAACAACTCTAGTATACATATTTTTAATGACTTGAATATAAGTCCTAGAACTCTCAAAAGAACTTATCTTGGAACCTTATCGTAAGTTTTTTCTAAATTAATAAAAATCATATGCAGATCATCTTTAATCTCTCTATACTTCTCTATCAAACCTCCAAACATCACAATAAGTGTATAGCTTCCATAATAGACTTGCCCAACATAAATCTAAACTAATTTTGAGAAATCTTTGCATCACATATTATAAGCTCAAGAAAAATCTAATAATTGTCTACCTTCTTCGTTAATCATTTCAAAACTATAGTCACCATGAATAATTCTAAAATCTTGTATCACTCAATCAACACTTCCATTTAAATCTCCTTCAATAAAAATTTCTTCTATAAGAAGCATCAATTATATTAATTCTTGTATGTCATTCCAAAAATTTTCTTTTGAACTTATATCACGGCCATTTTAATCTCCTCCAATAAAAATTCCTCCTTCAAGGAGCATCACTTGTATTAATTTGTGTATGTCATTTCAAAAACTTTTTCTTTTGAACTTATATCTAAACCTACTTGAGAAGCATAATCACTTATATAATTAAAAATCTTAGTATCAACAATAATTTTTATGGCTATAATTCTATCTCCAATTTTATCTATTAATTTTTATTAATTTTTACAACGTTATCTTTCAAACTTTTATCTATAATTACACCTACACCATTTCTAGTGTGACTCTTACCTGAATATAAAAGTTTAAAATCAAAGTTATAAATCTCCATAGCTTTTTCTCCAATCCATTTAGTTTCTTGAATACATAAGATATTTATCTTTCAATGCATAAGATACTTCCGACCAAACATAAGGTAACTTAATTTTCAACCAGTAAACATGAAGGATGATAATATAAAGTTTGTGACCTTAAACACAATCTAGCAACTAAAAACACTCAAGGAGGTAGTGATGGGCTTACATAAGGATAATATCATGTTATTTGTGACCATAACCTAAATCACTAGAGAGGAGAAATGCAAATACAAAATATTTTGAAAATGAAATATGTAAATCATAGATAAAGTATTTATCTCTTCTAATTGTTTAATTGACTGGGCGAATAAAAAACACAAAAACATGCAGAGAAAGAAATTATGTCAGCATCATGCTGGCTGATGTTTGCACATAACTTTACCTTGAGGAATTCTGCGATCTTTGTGGCCCACTGATGTTGCTCAAAGGTGCTTGAATTCCCTTGCCAAATGAAAAGTGAATTTCCAGATTGCAAAAGAAAACAATCATGGGAATTCAAAGACGCGGTAACCTGAACAATGAATGGCAAAATAGAGAGCCTTCATTAAAATCAGGCCATAATAATTTTTAACTTGAAGCACAAAACTAATCTGATTATTAAGATAACGACCGAACTAGCTAATAAAAATTGGCAAAATAGAAACTAGAAAACGAAAAGATAAATTTAAATTTTACTTGAGCTTCAATATTTAGCCATAAAGTGCAAAATTTTCTCCATTATCCACTCTATAGTTCTAAATGTAGTCTTTGTCACAAGTATTTATACATTTCAAGTGCCATTTGCATTGTATTTCACAATCCAACCCCACTTACCTCCAATATTTTTCCTTCTTGAAAACCATACTACCTCCCATGTTTGGTTCTCTTGAGGGCTGTAACAATCATGGCCTTCTTCATCATTTATTCTAAAGTGATTGATTAGTTATAATCTTGATATTGTTCAACTTAGTTTCTTTTTTTAAATTTTAATATTCAGTTTTCTATTTTGACTTCAAATCGATTTTGATTTTCGTTAAAACAAATAAACAAAAAGTTGAATAATATTATGATTGGAAAATTAGATTCACAAGAAAAAGAAATAAACTGAGCACATAACATGCTTATTTTAAGATAAAATAAATTTTCTCATTTAAGAAAATATGGTTAGATACAAAAGAAATCTTAAATTTGTGATTTAGAAGAAGGACCTTTAATAAATTTAGGCCCTATTTCAAATTTGGGTTTGCTCAAAATCGAATTTATTAAACCAAATTATATTTTAGTTTGGTTTGAATTGATTTTAGCAATGTTTGATCAATTTGATTTTTAGAAATTTTTTTTTTATTTTGATTTCACTTGATTTAACAGATTTTTGAACCGATATATCCAAACTAAATGACACTCCTATGGTTCATGTTTAGGCAATCTTTCTTAAAATAATCGGAAGACTAATATCATGATGAGTTTGAAAGGGATACTATCATTACCTTGCTGTTTGGGGTGGCAGCAGGTCAGGTGTGCTGGAGCAGCAAGCGGACAGCGGCCAAAAGGGTTTCTGAGTGGCGGTACAAAGGGAGGGTAGCGGGGAAGGGAAGCAGAAGGCGTGGGATAGCAGCGGCAGTGAAGAGGAGGGAGGGGAAGGCAATGACGGCGGCCGGAATTGCAGAGATCCAGCATGATATGTTGTGTAGGGCAGCTGTAGCAGAGAAAGATGACAACGATAGTGAAAGGAAGGATACAAGGGGTGGAAAAGTTGAAGACAAATATCCCACGAGAACGAGCTATAGCCAGAGCAACACTCGATCCCTTGGAAGAAGAGCACCAACGTGGACGAGCTACAATGGAAGCACCACTCACTTTTAAATACAGCCCTAGAAAGGAGAGACGGGAATGCCGCCGGCTGTCCCGAACAAAAATAGGAAAAAATTGAAAACCTAAAACATTGGAATCACATATATAAGCCTTAGATAACAAGGACTGCATTCCCTTATGGAAATGAGGAACCAAACAAACTTGGGAGAGCCGGTCAAGCCGCCCAAGTCTGGATCGGTTCAGTCTAGACGAAGGAATAGTGAAAAACAGTCCTGCAGTATTGTAGCAAGGATTCCAACAATATAACACACTAAAGTAAACATCATGTAGATGCCTATTAGGTAGCTCCAGCATCAATAATGATTTCAATTTAGAAAGATTTTGCTCGAGTTCATGTCTAAGGAGGCTATTATAATTTGTCAAGAAGTTTCAGATTATTTAAGGCTTTCTAGGTCGATTGGGTGGTAATGAAGTGTAAGTGATACCGGAACTAGTTACGAAAGCAAACTTTATTAGCACTGAATTATGGTTACAATAGGACTCAAATTGGAAAGAAAATACAGCGACACGACTCTCCAGCTAAGAACAGAAGATAAGATCCGAGCGTGATGGTAGTGTCATCAAAGTGATAAGCAAGCGCGTCAGGGTTGGAGGCTGTGGAGTAGGTTAGAAAGGGTGATTTGGAGGTCGTTAGTGGGACAGCTAGGATAATGCAGGAAGATTGGTGACTGGGTGCTGGGGCGAAGGTGAGATGGCTGGACAACACTGGTGTGCTTCAGAAGAGGGTTGACAAAGTGCTTACACATTCCTTAAATTCTTTTCATTATACTCGTTTACTTGTACCTGCGACACCGACCTCATTTATGGGAGTAGCCGACTCGTCAGATAGACAGGTTTGTTTTTATTTACAACATTTCGCTTTCTTCACTGCACACTTTGCTGCATATATATACAGTTCATGTTTGCGATGCTACTGTTTATTGTTTATTGCGTTTCGTAGCATGTTTCTCTTTTATTAATCATGTTGCTTCTATAGACTTGCATAGACCTTTTAGGATATAGGACAGTTGGACACCCGGTTTAGAAGGCACCCTATAGCGAGCCAATGACCTAACAAATGTATATTTATACACACCAAAACCCTAAACCTATGATCAATTTGTTAAGGAGCTTAGAGTAGTTTTTCCAAGAAGCCGAGCGTCGAAGCAAGCGGACGGAAAGCAGTGAACGAGACCACGACAACGAGGTGTAGGACGTCTCTTCAGAGTTAAGGTCCAATCGTAGTATAGTTGGGAAGTCACCGAAGTTCCCCCCGAATCTATGACATCTCACACCTTTCACTCCATTGACTCCTAAAAATAACTTTTCCTATTTTGAGTCATTCCCTTTGATTTCCTCACATTTAACCTTGGAAACTTAAACTTTGCAATCTTGCAGGCAAAACCACGTCTTAATTGAGAGTCTTCTTAGGTGATTTCGATTGTTTAAGATGTAATTAACTATAGGGACTTGCCTATATAGGGAACGTAAGGACCCAACTTAATAAAAAGCCTATTTAACTTTCCATTTTAAATAGGAGAACTTGTCGGCTTATAAAAAAAGGTTTCGCAGACCAAACGGACGTTACAAACTCTTTAGTTTATGTGGTTAAGCCTACTAACAAACGGTATGATTATCTTTCGGGATAGCGTGCTATTTGTGGTATCGTGTTCAGACTCCTAAACTATCAAATATATGAGGTCCGTTCGGTCTCACTTTTCTATGTTAAAAAATATATTATTTTTCTCAAAATTATAAGCATATATAAATTAAATTGCAACATTATTTTCCACAGTTAAAATACTATTTTATAGAATCATATACATATAAATTAAATTAAATCTTAAATCATTTCATCCACCCCAAACACCTTTCATTTTCATTCCAATAATTTATTTTGGCCGACAAGGCCCAACTTGTGGGAGAGGTAAGAGTTATTAAGGTTTATATTTTAATCAAAAATATAATATTTAGTTTGTATATATGTGTACTAATACTAATAAATATCATAATAATAACAATATGAAAAATTTATATGACATATGAAAATAAAGTTTATAATTACTTCTTTAAATTAGAACGGACATTAATTGAATCTTGAACAAAATTTAATATAAATCATAAATATTGATTAAGTTGTAGTTTTGATCGTCAAATTAAAGTAACATGAATATTTAAAATAAAAATTTCTAATCAACATTTAAAATAATATAAGTAATTAAAAGATTAATTTAAAAAAATTAATAATATGCTTAAAACTATATTTTATGACATTGGACAAAAATTAAATGTGTTTGAAGATTTAAAACAAGTCATACAGTTTTGAAGTGAGTATTTGTACTTTTAAATTATAATAGTATTTGGTTTCCTCTAAATCCAATACAATGTTAACTATTTTAAATAGTTTTATCTGTTATTTAAGTTCATTTGATTATATTGAATTGCAAGTCACTCATATTTGTATGTATCCATAAAATACATAATTCAGGTTATCATATTATGTACTGAATGTTATGAAAGAAATTAAGAATGAGATTACATAATTTTATTGCTTGCATATGCATGTTTGGCTATGATAAAATCACCTATTTATGATACTAGCAAGAGAACGCTAATGTAGAATGTTATGAAAGAAATTAAGAATGAGATTACATAATTTTATTGCTTGCATATGCATGTTTGGCTATGATAAAATCACCCATTTATGATACTAGCAAGAGAACGCTAATGTACTGTGCATGTAAATAGGAAAAGATATTAATATTGAAGTACCTTAAATGATATAATCTTAGACGGTTCTCCTATGACGAATGTATACAAACTAAAAAGATATTGATATGTAAACATTATACTAAGACATATTGTGTGTTTAATATTAGATTAAATGATCATATTATATAGTACATTATATACTCTTAGATTGATTTACTGAAACTTTAACTATCATGCATATTATCTTCTTTATTATTGTACTACTATAATTTATGAGTATTCACTGACTGTGACACTCAATGTTGCTTTAAACTAACTTTTAAGATTTAATTAATTGATTAAAAAGGTTATACCCGCCATGATTAATTCTAAGCTTTGTCGGGTCGTGACATTAATGGCTACTTGATCGTAGCAGCTTGAAATATGATAGGTGCCATGCAATTCACACATGCTCTCTGTTTTCCATCTTCAAATTAATGTAGACCATGCTTTTGTAGAAGTGCCTTGTAGGAAGTGAGCCAAAAATATGGCATGATGTAACTATCCCAAAATCAAGTAACTAGGATTTGATGCCAATGGAAAAGAAACATACCGGCATCTATAACATTTGTGGAGTGAAGTAGGCAAAAATCATAAACAAGCAAACGTAAGACAGATCAAAAGGAAACAAAAAACAAAAAGGGACCAGAGTGCATATGATAAGGTCGTCCAAAAACATTATCCTTTGGGGAAATATAAGTAGGAAAAAAGTAATTACTAGAAGTTAAATAAGAAAATACCAACAATAGAACTGACCACTACAGATATTAACTTATTCCGAAAGAGCAATAGTGTAGTAAGTTCTTCAGCCCACTAAGGAGTTCATTATAAATAAATTCTGCCACAAAAATTCATAATTAAGTTCTTTAATTTAGACTGCTTCCGGTTTCAATGCATGTAAAACCAGCCTATTGACCCACACATTTCTATGGGGAGATTTATTTTCCTAAACTTACATTGCAACTCCCAAAGCACTAGTTACAGCACATAGTTGATAACTTCAAGGACCACTTATTACAAATTAAAACCTTATTTATGCCAGAAATAGGGGTGTAGCATGGTTAAAGGCGATGGAGCAGAGATTGGGTGGAATGTTGAGTTCCCCCTTAATGTGGCACAAAAAGAGAAAAAAAAACCCAACAATAATAACTTTTTAAACTGCCAATATTTATTTATCATGAAAAGAAAAATAGCTTAAATGAAAAGGTACCAAAATCTTCAGCCAACTAAAAGGTTCATTATAAAAATATATTCTAAACCACAAGTTGCCAATATTCTCACTCGGAACTTTTTTATTTTTACCTTTTCCATCATTCCATGAAAGACATTATAAAAATCAGTTGTAGAGAGTTTGATTCATCAAAAACTTGCATCCCAACCATTAAAACACTTGATTTCTTAGGTGACCATTGATTAAATTTGTTGCATTTTTTGGTTCTGTTTCTTTTTTAACCATGTCGATGGACAATGGGGTGCTGAATTTCTCCTTGAATGTGACACCAAGGTAAATATGAAATATTTCAATGTCTTAAAAGATCCAACAAGCTAAAGAAATTACAAATTAAGAAAATAAAAATAAGCATAAAGGCATACCGCATCAACTTGAACTGCTTTATTGTTGTGGACTGAAGTTCCAGACACACAAATTAGTGCAATGTTATCAGAACCATAGGTTTCGTCATTCATATTTTTCTCTGCTATAGACTTCTTGTAGCCTGTGCTTAGGCCGCCCTGGCAAATTTGAGAAATAAAGAATGACTCAAAACCTGGCGTCAAGTTCTCAAGCAGGCACTCTGACATAATAAGGTAAATTGTACCTTCAAGACCACCATTGGCTGAAAGAGTGCAATGAACTGCGGTGGTTCCTTTCCTTGGAAAATGCGACCCTACAGTGGGGAATGCAATTATGCAAAATACATATCATGAGGCAAAAAAAAATTCTTGTAATTCCTACAGACTAATCAAGAAACGGATGAAGAAAATACCTGAACAGGTCTCCCCTTCATGGAAGTCCACATTGTATTAGCCAATCGAGCAGCCATCATTTGATCATCCTAGATGAAGGAAAAAAATTGATATAACCCAAAAGGGAAACTGTAGAATTACTTGGAGATCATACAATTTTTAAAGTACCAAAGGAAAATTTAGCAAGTGAGAAACAATTTGCAACAAGGATATCAGTTCCAAAACACCAAAGAAGTTCATGGCATTGAAAATTCAGAAGGATGTTAACCTCATCGGAAGA